GTCGTTCGATGCAACGATCATCAACTTCTCGAACCATGCCAGTGATTTATCTCTGAATTCGGATCAGTTATCAATAATCATTCAGTTAAACTTCATCGAAATCATCTAATCGCATTACACAATATCGGCGAATGCATTTTCAACTGTCTCTTCGCTCGCAGAATTTCACTGCTCAGTGAAAAAAATCTTAGTTATATGTCAAAATTGTATCTAATCTGCCGAAATGAATATGATTATCAGTTAATGATGAAAAACATTCCGGAAATGAAACGTTCTTTTGAGAACATTCAAATTTTCGGAACAAGATATTCATACCGGAAGCCAAATCGTCAAAGTGGAACAGAACTCACAAGGCGGCCACTTTACGAAAGGTGTTTCGCACCTCTTTGGACAGATATGATAAATCTCCACTATCGATACGGCATCCGACCGAGCGGTAACCAGCATCGTGCAAAGCTAGTGTCACCGCACAGAAATTGATCACTCCACTTTTGAGTACATCGTACGTGTCGATCAACGCTATGAATGTGGTTGGAAATGCGATTGCATACGCGACGAACGCACACAATTCACCGACGGACACCTCGCTTCGTGATACACCCCATTTGCACTGAAATCATTCCGCATTCTTTCCACCAGACGACTCAAATAAACGGCAAAATACAAATAACAAACATAAATACAAATAACAAACATTGCTAAACTCCATCATCTATTTTCTTCCACACACATGAAATTTACTGCGCTGGGCGAACAGAACTTTGTANTTTTTCAGTTTTGTTATCTTCAAGAAAACAAACAAAATTTGCACTGAGTGAGAAATTTACAACAATAATAATTGTATGAAAATACAAGCATTCAGATCTTACTGAATAATAATGGAAAATTGCCATTATGTTCTAGTTTGATTAGAATAATTCATCTGTTTTAACAAAAAAATGAGCGAATGCATAACTTTCAGCCACCATTTCAACATCAAAATGAGATAATGACCAATGGAAAATCTCCACTTTCTTATATTAAACACAAACAGTGTCGTTACCTTTAATAGCACCAATATCACTAACGTTCATAAACGAAAATCTATCAAAAATTCAACGACAAACCTTGAGATCGCTCACAGTACTAAATGAACATATGAAGGAATGTGCTTGAGTGCCTTTGATTGGTATACCGAACAACTTTCCAGCTAACATATTACTCGTTGCGTCGAATCCTTCAAAGAAATTTTACTCACTATTCAATTTATCATTTCGTTATCGTTACATCATATAAATCAGCTAAGTAATCACTGAATTAATTTGGGAATATCAATCAACAGTTACAATTGAAACAAAAAAATCTCAAACCTCCAACATAGCAATACTTGCTGGCAGTAAGTCCACCGTTCGGTCCTTGTGCACGACGAAGACCGAATTCGAGTAACTGAACACGATTTCCAGCCACCTTCAAAAAGATCAAATAAACCAACGATCTCNTTGCTCATGTGAAATTCCTTACAAAACATTACGAAAACTGAAAATTGGAGAAGGATAATACATTTCGAAATCGCGATGCATTAGTTGCAACAAGACTCGCGAAATTGACGAGATTCAAGAAGGTCGTCTCGAGCAGTTGACAAATCGCCAGTGGTCCTTCGACGGTAATCAACGGCACTTTCGGGAATACAACGCTGCCCTCTTTGATCGCGTAAAATTTCACATCACTGCAATCCACGGTCGCCAAATAATCGAAGAACGCCGGCTCTACACTATCGGGCATTGTTCGTCGCATAAAATCCAAATCTGAAATTTGAAACTTTTTGCGACTGAATAAAAACAAAGAGGAGTTTCATGCACATAATCACTGTAAACTCTAATGTGAAATCATCTCCATCAACGATATAAACAACAACAACAACAAACAAAAATGAACGCACTGTACCTGATTTAGAGAATCGAAAGTTTTGTATGAATCGGAGACAATCCTCTAGTCCAGCAAATATCGTATATTCACCATGGAAGGGGTTCTTCCTAAAAAAA